CGCACGTGCCCGCGTCGCGCTCCGACGCGCACGCCCCACGGCGAGCTCCAACGGCCACGCCCTCGATCACCCACGCAACTCGCTCAACAGTTACTCCTAAACCCACGCACATGACGCATACCCGCATGGACACGCCCCGTGCTGCACCTGCACGCACACACTCCCGCGGCCCCGACGCGCCCGACCCGACCAGCTCGCGCCCATACACGCGGTGGTCGCGTCCGGTGCGTCGCCGCGGCTTATTTTCCCTAACATTCGCGTCCTAAGCCGCGGCTCAGAGCAGCCCAGCGTCCTCGACGTCGCCGTCCGCCAGTAGTGCCCGCTCCGCCGTCGGCGCCTTCTTTCACTACGGGCAGTCACGCTTGAAGTGACCCCGCTCACCGCACTTGTAGCACCGGCCTCGTCTGTTGCTGCCGAAGCCCGACGCCTCGCTGCGCGCCCTGTCGTCGTCGTCATCCCGAGCTCCGCCTCGCTGCCGCTCGCGCGCCCGCCACTGTGCCGCGGTGAACATCAGCTGCTCGCCGCCGTGGTTGCCTTCGTCCTGCCCGCGCCGACGCAGCCTCTCGTCGAAGGCTTTCAGCCGCCCCAACGCGTCCTCGAACACCATTGTGTCGATGTCATAGAACTGGTCGATCCCAGCCACCGCCGGGTACAGGCGATTCGACACCGAGTCGAGCAGCTTCTTGACGAGGGCAACGTCCTACAGGGTCGAGCCCAACGCCGCGTAACGCGCCGCCATCCCGCCGAGCCTGTCGTCGAAGTCATCCAAGGTCTTGGCGTCCGCCATGCGCAGGAGCTCAAACTCCCCGCGCAGCGTGCCCAGCCGAGCCGCCCTGACTTGATCGGCCCCGACGAAACGCGCCTTGAGGCTGGCCCAGACCTCCGCCGCCGTCTTCTTCGAGGCCACCTGCAGGAGCAGGTTTTCCGCGAGCGCGCCGAGTAGGTACGCCCTCGTCGGCTTATCCTTCTTGGCAATCACATCCGCCGACGCGTCCTCCGGCACGACCACCGCCTCCCACAGCCCGGCCGCGTCAAGGTTCGCCTCGACCTTGATGGCCCACGCCGTGTAGTTGTCGCCGGTGAGCTGCGGCACCGACTGCGGCAGCGATCCGCCCGCTCCGCCGGCGTACGGGACGATGGGCATCGCCGATGCGCCCTTATCTCCACGTGGCTCTGATGCCAATTGTTGGAACCGCCAGTCCCTCACAGCTGCCCTCCCCTCTCTCTCTCTGTTGCCGTGGCTCGAACCAGCGAGAAAGAAAGGGAAGGAGGGAAGAAGAACAGGGACACGGCGATGTGGTTTTTCCGGTGCATGAACACTTTTCCAGAGCACGAACTCAATCCACACACTACACAGCTGTTACAACGGCCCTCGCGTGGCTTTATAGCCCCGAGCTGGCGCACCGGGAACGCATCCAACGCCTCCACTCGCTCCTGATTGCCCGCGCTCCGCTCGCTCCGGTCGTGCCCGCGTCGCGCTCCGACGCCTGCGCCCCACGGCGAGCTCCAACGGCCACGCCCTCGATCACCCACGCAACTCGCCCAACAGCTACTCCTAAACCCACGCACACGACGCACACCCGCACGGACACGCCCCGTGCTGCACCTGCACGCACGCACGCACACACTCCCGCGGTCCCGACGCTCACGACCCGGCCAGCTCGCGCCCATACACGCGCTGGTCGCGTCCGATGTGTCGCCGCGGCTTATTTGCCCTAACAGGCTACGTCTGCGCGTCCGATCTGGACGCGGCCCCCAAGAAGGGACGAGCGCCGGCGGTGGACCAGGTGTGGGACGGCTTCGCGGTGCCCGAGGGATTCCACGACCTGGAGTCGCACTTGTACGTGGTGCACCTGGGCGACGGCCGGCTCTGCGTCGCCAAGTTCTTCGAGACGACGCGCCAGGAGGCGTGCGACGATGACTGCATGTGCCGCTGCTGCTGCCATGGCTACGTCAGCGAGTGCGCGTTCGCGATGATCACCCGCGTCGAGGTGGAGCCCGGCGCCGGCAGATGGCATCGCTTGATCAAGCACAGGTCGTTCCGGTACAGCTTGGGTACAGACAGGGTGCCCGTGTGTGTACTCTAGTTGGAGAATAGTCCTATACTTTATCACTGGCTTGCGAATTTGAAAATCAGTATCGATTGATTTACTCGTTCCTCTATCAAGCCGAGCTCGTTCTGAGACTGTCCTAACGATGCCCCAAGATGGTTTTTTACCCTGGTGGATATGCACTTGGTATGCCTTACTTACAGATATACTATCTCAATATCCGTGTGTTGCAACGGGGGCAATTTGGTCTGAAATTGAGATATACCTATTGTGCAAAGAAATCCTTAGGCAAAGGCAAGAAAAGATATGGCGTGATTGAGATTGCGTAGGTAGAACAACGGGATTTCTTTCTCCATAAGGCCTCATTTGGTTTCACACGATCCCGGGGGGATCCCTGCCGATTACCCGGGCCGAGAAACCTCAGAACAATTTATCCCCGGGCGATCTGCCGTCGCATTTGGAGGCCCATGAGAACGGGGCAGCCCTGCCCTATCCACGACTTTTCCTTGGATGAGGCTTCCACGCCCGACGAGGTCGAGGAGGAAACCCTCGTCGCTCTGTCTCGCGAACAAGAGGTGGCGGCGACAAGGTCGAG